AAAAAAAAAAAGAATAATAGTGAATTCCGTTCCCAGAGGAGGCCGGTGGCTGCTTAGTTGGAACGTGAAGAAGAAGAAGAGTAGAAGGCTTCTAACAAAAAAATCAGAACGGCCACCTTCACCGCAACCACCATTTTCAGCCACCATTGGTCCATCATCGCCGCTCCGTTTACGACAGCCGCCACCTTCCCCATCGTCTACCGCCACCATCAAAGTCGCGACCTCCACTCACCACCACCACAAATAACATCAACACCACACCACACAACACACCCGTCGCTCAGATCTTACTCTAGATAACGACGTCATCAACGCTGCAGAGAGCGGAGAGAGATGTAGAGAGAGGAGGGAAGGAGGAAAATAATTGGATTTGGGGAATAGTGGTGGGTCTTGGAGGGAGGCGACAGAGAAGAAGGAAGAGAGAGAGAGAGACATGAGGTGAAGATGAGAGAGAGTGGGAGAGACGGTAGATGAAATTAGGATTTTAATATTATAGTGTTAAAAAAAATTAAATTAACACCTGATTTTTGTATAAAAAACTTTTCAACATGAATTTTGAAATGTATAGTTTATATGTAGGGATTGAGCTAATTTTCCCTGTTTTGGTAGACGTTCTTAAACCCAGAATAAGACATTTCCATTCCGTTAAATATGTTGTGGCCACACATTGCCCAAAAGCCCAATAGACCATTTCAGAGTGGCCTACCTAGGAGAGTATGAATGGCTTATCTATAATATATTAAATAGAGGAAATTACATTAGAGCGGTATTTAAATATCACACTTCAAAAATCAGGTATGAAGTATATTTAATCAAAAATCAGGTAACAATTTAATATTTAAATATTAATAATTATATTACAAATTCAAGACATAATTTCAAACCCTAAATCATTTTAATGTATTCTCTCCCAAGCTGAAAACCCTGAAGCCGAAATGAATCTCCTCTCCCTCGCCCTCCGGCTCCCTCTCCTTCTCATCAACGAGATTGTGAGTGGCAGCGCTGCGCGCAACAATTGGAGCGATGGAGCTGTTCACGCTACTCGGCAACTATAGCGGTGGCGATGTGGGTACGGTTTTGGGGATGGGGATGGCGATGGCGATGGTGTGGATGTAGTGTTTCTTCTTTCTGGTATGTCTTAAATGACTCTGTGTTCCAGTCGCCGCCACTGCGATGACGCCGTGCTCATAGATATGTGCGCTATAGTGGACACTGTAGCCACAGTGACTTCTTTTTCTTTCCTCCGATCTCTTGTGGCCTGGTTTGGGTGTTGGCGGTGAGGTGTTGGTGGTGAAAATCTAGAGTTTTTGGGGATAGTTGGCGGTACTGGTGGGGTGGTGGTGGTCGACAACGGTGAAGATTGTGTTGGTGGTTGACGATGGTGGTGTGAGGTCAAGGAGGTGGAAGTGGGGTGTTGGTTAATCTGTGACCAACGGCGTTTAATTGTGATCTAAAAATTATATAATCTGTGACCGTGAAAAAAATTGTGACTAATTAGTTTGGAAATTCGTGATCATGTGACCTATAAATTTTTTTTTTCTGTGACTATTAAATAATATGTAACTAGCTAATTTGGAGATATGTAACCAACGAATAGACTGTGACTTATAAATTTTTTGATCTGTGTCATTAAATTGACCTAAGAATAAACTGTGATAATTAATTCTATAAATGTGACTTTAATATATTTAATTAATTAATATCTGATTTATGAATTTTGAAACTTAAAATCTGAATCCTCATTCCAAACACCCGACTTTTGAACTCTTCCCTATTAAATATCACATTAAGCGAGAATAAATTTTCAGATGATTATTATCCTACTAGAATTCAATTATTTCAATAATACCTTACTTTTCGTTTTTCAATATGTATTTAATTTACAAACTATAATAAATACTATAAAATCATTGTTATTCATTTAATTTTTAATTAATTAACTTTTACATTCATTTA